TATTTAAGTTGACTAAAAAGCCCGCAGATTGGCCATGCGTAATTTTCCTTAAACAAGCCCAGTTTTATTTTAATTTTGTTTGGAACCATGTTGACGTAATGATTATGACGTCATTAAGAATAGTGTATAACTGACGTTTGGGGCTGCGTCCTTTCCGTTGAGGTCAAAAGAGCGTCAAACCCGTAATGTAAAAAGGGAATTTTTTACGGATATAGAATTCTTTTAAAAAAAATTACAAAAAGGCATCTGTACAAAGTTATTTACACATCTAGCACCATTCACCGTTTATACTCAGAATTTGGTTCTTGAAAAATCGAATTCTGAGCTTAAAATTTTTTTTTTTGTGCTCAGAATTTAGTTCCCGAGAAATTGAATTTTGAGTAATTTTAATTTTTTTTTGGTTTGTGGCTCACTTTGCGTTGGAACGGCCCGTTCCGGAAGCAGAACAACCCGTTCTGCTTGCACATGTAAATTGTTATTTTTGAAATTGGAACGACCCATTCCGGAAGCAAAATGGCTCGTTCTTCGGCCGTTCCAATTTAAAAAATTACAGTTTACGTGTGCAAGCAGAACGGGCCGTTCTGCTTTCGGAACAGGCCGTGCCACTTCCAAGATTCGCGCAAATTGGACCACAAACCAAAAAAAAATTAAAATTACTCAGAATTCGGTTCCCAGGAACCGAATTCTGAGCACAAAAAAATTTTTTTTTTGAAGCTCAGAATTCGGTTTCCCGAAAATTGAATTCTGAGTGTGAACAGTGAATGATGCTAAATATATAAATAAAGTTGAACAAATGCTTTTTTAGTAATTTTTTTTAAAAAAAATTCTATATAAGTAAAAAATTCGTAAAAAGGCATATGTATATGCCTTTTCTTTCAACTGGTTTGTGTCCACCCTCTGTTTAATTGTTTGCTGATATATATCAACTATTAGACAAATTTTAGAAACTTTTCAAATTAACGTGATACATGTTAATCAGTAGTCTGGAATTTATAATAAAGTTAAACATTACTTTTTTTTTAGTTTATGTAATTTTACTTATTTTATTTTATATATATATTTATCTTTTATAATCTTTGTCAATCTTTATAGTTTAAGATATATATTTTTTTAAAATTTTTATACTTTTAGTTTTTTAATGTTTTTAGTTTTTATCGTTAAAATTTTTCATAATGTTGGTAATTGTGTGTTTGACGTCGAAATTATTTTGTTGAAGTTACCTAAATTTGGTCTTTCGATACTTGTATCTTAAAATTGATAAGTAATCTCGTTAATCAAATAAGAACTGATAATTTGGTTGAATGCAATTAATATAAGCATTTAGTGCTACAATAAACACTTCTCATTTAAAAGGATATGATAATGAAGATAGATGAAATAAGCTTGTGAAGAATTCTCAAGGTTTCACAATGAGCATCTTCATTCGAGCTACTGTATAAGGAACTTCAAAAATAGAAAAAAGAACAATATTTTTTACTTTTTGAGAGAACTCTTGTATAAATTATTAATTATTTTTTTAAAGATATTGTTCTAAATTGGTTGTATGATGTCTGGTTTGTAAGACAAAACAATATTTGTAAGATTTTATCCATATATAATTATTGTTATAGGGTTGAACTTAGAAATGTTTATTTGTTAAAAGAATATTCATTAGAGCCTGAAGAGGTTTGTCAATAAAGAATACTGTTAAACTTATAAAGGATTGCATGTAAAAAAATACTCATTTAAGCTTGGAGAAACCTAACTGTAAAATAATAATTGATGTTGAAGCCTGAAGAGACTTTGTATTGAAAGAATACTTGGGTAGATTGCTTAAAGAGACAATTCAAAGAATACTTAGATTTAAATCATAAGTGGATTGTTAAAAGAGTACTTATATCTTTTTAAGATAGTGAAACTCAATCTAGTTGGATTGAAAACTGGACGTAGTCTCGATGATTAAGACGAATCAGTATAAAAATTATCATATATTTTTTCTGTCTCTTCTGATGCACTATTTATTTTTTTAGTTTCTATATATTTTATCCTCTCAAATTTAAAACTTGTATTCTACTTTCAAAATATTAAAAATCATTATTTAGTTTCAGTTCAGTTTATTTATAGTCTTGAGGGACTAAAATAATATTTTTATTTTTAAAATTTTAAGACTAAAAAGATAAATTTTAAATTTGAGAAATCAAAATAACAATACTTTTTTTATATATATTTCAGGGACTAAAAATACAGATTTTAAATGTTCAAAATAAAAAATAATATATAATTCAAATATTGAGGTTAAAAATATAATTACTCACAATTATACAATTAGTTATTTAAATTACAAAACCAAAAAGAAATATTAAGAAATAAGGTTTGGATAACAAGTTAAAAATAATCACAAAATAAAAAAAATTTAAAATAAATATTTCTTTTCATAATATATTAAAATTTTAAAAATATATGTGATTATTTTATTTATATAAAATAATACAAATATTAGCTAATTAATTGTGTCATTAAAAATAATTTAATAATTTTATTTAAAATATTTTTTATTATCTCAATTATATTGATTATTATTTTTTATTTTATTGATCATTTCACCACTAAACTAACTAAAATTGATAATAAGAATTTAAAATAGATACTAGAATTGTCAAGCATTTAAAAATAATAAAATTTTAATATAAAAATTAAATAAAATAATATTTGTGAGACTAAAATATATTGAAATTTTTAATTTTTTTAATAATGTTGACAAGTCAATTATTCATTTTTGTTGTCTTTTTTCTTTTCTTTTGGATTTTTTTCTTTGGATTTGTTTCCGGAAAAACATATACCCGTATAGGAAGATTCCTCTGTCATTTGTCACTTTTCCATATATGCGCGCTTATTTGGCCATGACGTCATGTTCTTTGTTTGTTTTAACAATGACGTAACAAAGAGAAGTGAATACAGAGTACAGCTTGATTGAGAGTTGAGACTGTGTCTTTTCCGCGGCGTCAAACCCATTATCCGTAATGTAAATATCTATGCTCTTTCACCGAATTTGCCTCCACCTTTTATTTTATTGTTTATTCATATATATCAATTATTACCCAAATTTTAGAAACTCTTCAATTTAACGTGACACATGTTTTAAAATCAATCCTCTGAAATTTAAAATAGTAATTCTACTATCCGTATCGGACACTGAGCTCAAACTCAGCATCCCGGTATCACACACATTGGACAAGAGCTGCATGACATCTGCCAAAGCAAAGGCCCACTGTCTATTGGACCGCAGTCAATCTTAGGCCCAAATCAACCTTATCTTTGCCTTAATTGACATCAAGGTACGTGCACTATATATATACATGAGACACCTACACCAAAGGACTAACTTTTTAGTATTGGAGTTTTTTTGCAGGTACTACCCCCACCTCGGAGTAGCCGACGTACCCAGTAAAGGAGGTTCACCAATCTTTCTCAGCAGATCGTCCCTCTCGACCGATCTCAGGTAAGAACAATAATAATAAATTAATGGTCACTAGCATATGTCATTGTTATTTAATAAAAATAATTTTGCAAGAGGATTTATTTTTATATATTAACAATATTGGTTTATCTCTCTATATATATATAATTAATTCGGGAAAAAGTTGTAGACTTTATTCATAAAAAAGAATTGGAATTTAAATTGAGTAAAAGTGGAAGAATTTTTTTTGAAATTTTGTTTTAGAAGTTATTTTTTTGTCTTCGGCCAAATAAAATAAAAATATATTATTATTTGTAATTTTTTATTTTCTTCTTTTTTAACCAAACATAGTATTATAACAATAAAAAAATAAAATAGTAATATTGATAAAGAGTATAATATATAAATGCATTATGCATCTGAATATCATCGCTTAGAATAAAATTATATTGAAAATTGTTGTGCTATAAGTTTATTATTAACTTAGTATATCAATCCGACCAACTGAGACCAGACAAAAAGATGTTTGCGTCAGTGAGTATGTCATGTCCTTCTTTGTTAGAAACGAGTAATTAAGCATTTGGATTTGACCACAAACGTGATTAAAAAAATATTAAGACAAAAATAAATAATTAGATCGGGAATTGAAGAAGATAAGATCAAAGAAAAGAAAGAAAGAGAAGCTAATAAAATATCAGTTCACACAAGTTAGTGTTACTAACCATCCTTTTGATGTTCACACGTCAATAGCTTTGGGTAGTGGGAATCCTACGTTTTATTATAATATCTCGCTCCCTATTGGGCTCTTAGCTTTTCTTAATTCTCACTTTATCCCCTCCCTAAACCAGCACGTGAAACATTGAGCACATTGAAAACGTGACAAAATGAAAACGTGCTTCCCCAACAATTATACCTTGTATGTAGACATGGCATCATCGTGGATACCACGCGGCCCTACAAAGTTGTAAGTTTTACTTATTCAGAACTTGGTAAGAGAATCCATCCCATATTCTCAGTGCACACCACACGACATCTACATCTTCAGGTGTTGCACGGTGGGCTCCACGTCAAACTTTTGCCCCTAAATTTTCTCTTTACCTAAGCACATTCAGCACTGTACGTGCTCCTCTGTCCCCGACATCACTTACTACAATCTCTCTTAACCTAGGCGTTAGACTGTCACTTGTGATATATATACTCGATAAAGAAAAACATCCTCAACATCATCATAATAAGGACAATTTTGTTCTTTTCAAAATTCAAGATTAATATGCTACACCCATACTAAAATTGAGTTGAAAGTGACTAGTGATGACTTAAAGAGACATAATTGATAAAAAAAAGTACTACTATTTTTTTTTTAGTTTCAAATTTATTATTTTTCCATTTTTTAATTAAAAATATGGGGGAGTGTGATATGTATAATATTTTTACTATAATTCTCTAATACAATAATACTACATTTGTCAGCAAAGTTCAGAAAAAATATTTGAATAAACTTGGTTACCAAGTTTAGTAGGAAATAAAATATAAACTCATATTTAATCACGATAATTGAAAAAAAAAAAAAAAAAAAAAAGGTAATTTGATAGATTAGAGAGTAAACTCTAGGGTGGCGAAATCAAACATTAAAACTCTTGATTTGTGGTTTCAGCTTCGTCTCTAGCTAAAAAAATATGAATGGAGAGGAAATAGGAAGATATAGAGAAATAGAGGTAGGTAATTAACAAATAGGCTAAAGCGATCGAGTTGTACATTTTGTAAACACACATGCAGTAAATATTTTGCTGAATGAATGAATTAAATCAGGAACTAAGAGTGTTCCCAGTGGCAGAGTCGGAAGAATCTCCGGCAAAATGATCCATCATCATCATGAGCTGGTGAAAATCAGCATCGCCAATCCTATCCCAGAATTCGGTTTCCTTGTTCCCGAAAGCCAGCGAATCCATTTGCATACCCTCATTCAGATTCAGATTCTCCTCCTTTATTTGTTCTTCAGTGTTAGCGTTAGAGTTAGCATTAGCGTTAGCGTTAACGATAACCCTCTCTGGCTGGGTGGGCTGCTGCTGGCTCAAGGACTCGTCGACCAAGGGAAAATTGAGCTTGGCCCGTGGGCCGCGGAACTCAATAGCGGCCCTGTCGTAGGCCCGGGCGGCTTCCTCGGCGGTGTTGAAGGTCCCGAGCCAGACCCGGGCGGCGCGGCGCGGGTCCCGAATCTCGGCGGCCCATTTCCCCCATGGCCTCTGCCTGACGCCGCGGTACTTCTTCTTGGCCCGCTTCTGCTTCTTCTTCTCTTCGGGGAAAAAGTTGCAGCCGAGGCAGCCCGCGATGTTGCACTCGCGACACGTGTCGGCGGTGGGCGGCGGCGCGAGGCTGGGCCCGGCGAGGGCCTCCGGGAGGCGAAACTCGGAGTGGGAGGTGGAGGTGGAGGTGGAGCCGGCGACGACGTTGGTGAGGGCGGCGACGATGACGGAGAGTTCCTGCTCGGTGGTGAGTGTGGCCGGAGAGAAGGAGGAGGAGGAAGACATGGATGGATAAGTGTTGTTGGTCTTTGTCTTTGGTTTGGCGCGTCTAAGGTTTTCTGGTGTGAGTCAGAGGGTGGAGTTGCTTATATACGGTTTGGGGGTGACGTGGCAGCTCAGTGCCAGTTGTGCACACCGTTAATACACGGATTGGGTTTGGTTTTGGATTTTATTCATCACGTGGGTTTTTAATCAATAAAGTGTGCCAGAAGGGTGACAGTTAGGATTTTTGTGGCTACGTGGCATCATTTTGGCTGCTGACAAGGAACACAGATTATCTGCATTACCACTTTTCACTTCACTCTTGACTCTTGACCTGTTCCTTTGTGCAAAACCAGCTAATTAAGGAGGTCAAACTTTGTCCCTATTTTCATTCACTGTCAATGCAAGGGACTTTCCATTTCCATTTCCATATTCTTTTTTTCTATTTTCAACATTATTTTAAATTCTTTTACCCTCTTTCTTTACTAATTCTGAGTTTTATTAATCGTTTAAACACCTAAAATCTTTATTAATTAATCAAATAATATAGTAAAACAAACAAATAAAAATCTAATTAAATATAAGGTGGGATCTCATGTTTTTCTTGGCAATTAATTTTATTTAATGTTTTAGATATTTATTATAAGTTTCTTAATTATAGATTCCTGAAATCCTCTATGTATATCAGTACATCGTCTATGAAATTCTAATACGTATATGTTTCACTATCTACAACTTACTTCAATGGGCCTGCAAGAAGAAAGTGATGAAAATACTCAAAATTAATCATAAATACGTATACGTGTACGCGGCTTTAATTTTTGATCAAGTCTTAGATGATATTTATTACGTTGTATTCATCATGCCAGAGGGCTAAACTGACACATAAATTGAACTTTAGAAAACGACTCATCGAAAAAAAGAAGAAAAACTTAGGAAACAATATCACCAATTTCGAACTTCTACCTCATGTCTTCTTCTTCCCGTGAAGGCAAAACCAAAATCATTAAATTAAGTACGAAAGAGACGCAAAATACTTTGACCAGAAACTTATTTTATTTTATTTTTTTCAATAATTTCCATGGCGTATACTACATCACATCTATATATAATAAAGTATAACAAGCAAACAAGTGAATCTCAAGGTCAATCATCATTCCAGTCAAACCCACTGTGAATTTTCCCACTCAGAAGAACTAGTATCATACACTTTGAAGGCTAAGTAAACAAAAGATCTCTAAAGAACAAAAACAATTACGGTTTTTGTAAGTTGTCAACATATAATTCTCTAAACTAGGCCAGTTCTTCAAGTCCAATTAAATATTGAAACTGAATATAGTTACCTTGTAACGTTTCCCTTTCTTAGCATAATAATCGATCACAGGAAGATTTAATGTAACACAACAAACTAGAAGGTCCCTTCAAAAAAAAAAAAAGAACTAAAATGGAATATTACAAAAATAAAACAAACAAAAAAAGAGATCCGTTTATGAACTTGCTGTAAAATGGAACAAGAGTTAATATATTAAAGGAGATTAATTAATACATGTCTATAGAAATAAAAACTCAACTTACTAAAGTTCCATCTTCAAAAATTGGAAGTATATATGGAAGATAATTTTATCTAAAATTATTATAGAGAAAGCACTCAAATGTTTCACTCTCAAACCAATGGGAGTAAAGAAAAAGAGTGTAATTCACTATATAATTCAAAGAGAAATTCTATGGTACCCATCTTATTTGAGAGGGTACCGGTACAGTTTTTTTTTTATATTTTATATATTTAATAATTTATTTAAATAATATTTATGATATTTTATTTTTTTTATTTTTAAATTCTTAATTTTAATAATTTTTTAAGTAAATTTTTAATCTTTTTATCTTAAATTTTTGAATTTCTATATTATAATTTTAATAATTTTTTATTTTTACTATTTATTAATTTTTTTCTTTTTTTAATATTTTATAATATTATTAAAATCTTATAATTTTAATCTTTATAATTTTATCTTACTTTTTATTTTATAAGTATAATTTGGATTATTCATTTTATAATTAAATTATATTTTTAAGAATCTTTTATAAATTTATATAGAAAAATGTATTAAAACCCTTCCATTTTTTAGGGTACCGTAACAACTCCCTAATTGAAATGGGGGTTAGGTTAGACTTTGTAAAGTCCGAGCCTAACCTAATTCACAAATATAAGACTGAAAGCCTAACTTGCTTACCTTATATGCGTCTTTAATTAGGTTTGACTTTTTAAAGTCCTAATTTAATTTTTTTTTACATTTTAAAAATCCTATTTAAAAGCGTACTTGTAAAAAGACCGTTAAACAAATAAAAACTTTTTTTTAATGAGTAAATAGATAAAAATTATCTTTAAGTAAACTAATGTACCTGAAATTATATGTAAGCTTGTCTTTCAATATAACAAGTGTTAACAAAAGAAAGAAGAAGAAAAAACGTATACTTAAAATTTTAGAAAACAATTATTATTGAGGTTTAATAATTTCTTTTTTATTTTTTTGAAATTTATTTTTTTATTTTTGAATAAAAGTTTGACCGGTCAAGATCTCTTAATTTTTTTTTATTGTTAAGGTTCAATCCTTAAACAAAAGTTTGATTGGTCGTCAAAATTCCTAAATTTTTTAAAATTTGGTTTTAGCCTCTAAAATCTCAATAAATAAATAAAATAATGGATTTCAAACTTTTGTTTGGAGATTAAAAACCTTAATGAAAAAAAATTGAAGAATCTTGACTAGTTAAACTCTTATTTGGGACTAAAAATTGAATTCTGAAAAAGTTTAATGTGTGTTTGATACATGCTATAAGGTATATATCAAAGAGAACGACATAGGATTAAGATATATGACAACTTTTTGTTTTATACATTATTTAGTGAACACAAACAAAATAATATTAAATTTATTATAGTATTATTTTGAATATTAATTATCATAAGTTATATTTATTTTAATGAATAGTCACAACAATATTAACGATAACAACAACAATAGTGATGATAGTAGCGTGACAATGACATCAACAACAACATAAGAACAAGTTGACAATGGGTGACAACAACTCCATGGAGCGTTTGTTTCATGGATTAAAACACTATTCCTAATAATGTAAGCTTGGGAATATCAAATTTTCATGTTTGTTACAAGTTTTAAAATCTCACTCTTGAGTATTGTTTATTTCCATAAAAATAGTTATCTCATGTATTTAAGCCATTTTCATTCTCCTAGTGAGGGATAAGAAATTTACATTCTTGTAAGAATGTAAGAAGTTATTGTCTAACTCAATTATAACTTCTTTTCTAATTTTATTTTTAATTTAATTATTTTAAATTTAAAATATTCCTATAAATATTTAAATCTAACCAAACTTATTTTGAACTATTCCCAAAATAACATTCTTTGTTATATCATTCTCGAAAATCATATTCTTAGAAATACAATATCATTTCATGAAATAAATACCTCCTACGTGCACGTAGGTTGTAACGATAATAATGATTGGTGACATGGTGATAATTAAGCGGTGGTGGTGACGGCAAAAGTCATGTGTGATTAATTTTTAATGGATATATTTAAGCAAGAATTAAGTTAGTTGCTTCTTTGTGATGTGATTGTTTGACCTCCTTATCACATAATTATTGTGTAAATATGGTTCATCATTGGGTTCGTGTACAATTAACCAATGTTGATGGTGGTGGTTGCCATAAAAGAAACATAGAGGAGTGTAAATACCACTAAAATATATTTCATATGTTCTCTATTATAAGGAGAGAAAAAAAAATGATTTCACATATGTTAAAGAAATTAGTTATATACTTTAAAAAAAATCAATATTGACCAATCAAACCTTTATTTAGGGACTAAAATTGAATTTTGAAAAAGTTTAGAGTGCTATTGATACACAATATAAAGTATAGGTCAAGGAGAAATGCTTAAGGTATATGATAAATTTTTGTTCCATATATTGTTTGGTGAGTACGAACAAGATAATATTAAATTTATTATAGTATTAATTATTTCCATTATTAATTATCATAAATTATTATTATTTTAATAAAATGGTGGCAAAGATATTGATGATAACAACAACAATAATGATGGTAGTAGCAATAGTAGTAACATAAAAAACAACGATATATAGTAAGGACAAAATGGCGATGGGTTACAACGACTAAGGATGACAAAATATTCGTATCGTAGATATCCATGGATAAAACCTGTCATGAGTAATAAATAGATAATTAAATAGTTATTCATTTAATAATGGGGTGGATGTTGGTAATAAGGTACTTGTGGGAGTACCCACACTTCAAAAATATTAAAAGTATTTTTCATTATATACACAATAATTTAATTTAATTGATTTTTACTATAAATAAATAAATAAATATATATATATGTAAATATTTGTTTTAGTACATATATCTTACAAAAATATTTTTTAATATAAATATATGTTTTTAAAATTATTTATTTTTAATTTATTTTTTTCTTACCTATTTATTTAAAATTTTGTACTTAAACAAATATTTATGGATACCCGCTAAATGGATAACCGCATTAAATGGGGTAGATAGCGGGTTCTACTACTTGTCCTGCCTCGCTTAGTCTTGTTGCTAGCCCTAAGGGTAATGTTAAGCGTGGGTTGCAACAATGGTGATGAGTTGCAGCATCAATAGTGATGATTGACAAGACAGAGCCAACACATTGTTAGGCCTAAAATAAATATTAAAATGATATTTTTATTAAAATTAATAATAATATCTTTTGATTAAAAAATAGAAATATTTTAGATATGGGTCTTTAAAAAAATAATTATATTTGTATATCTTTTAGAGATAGACCTCTTAGAGTGAGCTTTTAAAAATACAAAAGGTGACTTTTGAGTTATGAACATTGAAAATTTTCTATAAATATTAATGCACAATTTTTTTTTGAACGAGACCAAAAGTAAAAGTCTTATTGGCCTCATAATTGAATCGATCCTAATAATTGATGATAGTGGTGGTAAGTAGTGACGACAACGGTAAAGGTCATGAGCGATAAC